TCTTAAATCACAGGGTCAGTCTCGAGCTCCTCCACCACTTCTTTCTTTCTTTTTTTTCCCTTCAAGACAGAGTTTCCCTGTGTAACAGTCCTGGCTGTCCTGGAACTCACTCTGTAGACCAGGCTGGCCTCGAACTAACAGAGATCCACCTGCCTCTGCCTCCCAAGTGTTGGGATTAACATTGTGTGCCACCACTACCTAGCCATGGTTTTTCTTTTTTAAATTGAAGGCAATTATTTATAATTTACTCTGGAAATGGCATTAAAGGTAAATGATCAGATAAACCACAGCATAAAATGATGGTTTACAAAGGAAAAAAAAAGCCTTTGTATTCCTCTGTTTTTAGTGTTTGATATGAAATCACTTCCCAGTTTAGCAGTGACCTATTCCAACGTTAGCTGTCTTCAGACCTTGCTGGTTGTGTTAGTCTTCTAGTCTCTCTGGCACAGTTAGCCATTCCTAACACCATGATGAGCTGTGTTCGCCATCTTGGATGCACAATAGTTAGCATTCTTTCATCCTCTGAATATGTTTGGATCTGGAAGGGCGAACACAGCATAGATCTTACTCAGTTGTTGGTGTGCATTCGGAAGGCAGAGACACAATTCAACTCAAAGCAGTTTTGAGGATTTGTTGAAATTGCATAAGATACATTGTTAGAGACTGGGGCAGATTGAAAAGGTAAGGAAAAATCTTTATTCTTCTGTTGCTGGAAAAGCGTCTATTCACTGATTGTCACGTGTTCGCATTTTCTGGGGTGTTCCTGGTAGCACCCTTTATCCCCGTTACTCGGAGCAAGCTCCCTTTTGCTCTCAGCTCTCCCCGATTGAATGAAAAGTTACCTAGGCACCCTGTTGGCAAATGGCCTTGTTTAAACACGGGGAGGCTTGGAACCCCACCTGCCCCGTCTTGCACGTCTTGCTGTTCTTGGAGCCCTTTATTATGTCGTGACCTGTATCTTTTGATCTCCAGCTGGATCTTTAAAACACAGAAATAGAAACTCTAACCATCCGTTATCAAAACCAGGTTAAGATTACTACTACTGTGTCCCAGATACAGAAAGGGTCCCAGAGGATTTAGGAAGGATTTGATGAAGTCTTTGATCTATACGGTAAAATTATAGCACCAAGCAGATGGCCTGTTCTACACCATCCATTTCACCACTGTGGACACTGCCTGGAATCACGAGGATGCTAAAACGTAGCTGGAAACTCTGGATTGGAAAGTGAGAAGATTCCAATCCAAGTGATTGCTATAGCTGCTGTGTATAATACGATTTCCTATAAACTTCCTTTGTTTCATTTATAGTGTGGAAATAGCTTTAATGGTAGACAAGAGCTCAAATAAAATAATAGACATGAACTAAAGGTTCAAAAGGTGATTATTTGTTTATTAAAAAAACTTGGAAATCTCACAGAGATTTTTCTTCATGTCAAAGAGAGTTTTCAAAGAAATTTTTTTACATTAGCTGTCTTAAAATTTTTCAAATATGCCTTCCAGGAAATAATTATGTAAATGTCTGTAAGTATTAATAATAATATAGGAACATTAATAATAGTAACATTGCAACTGGGTATTGTGGTAAATCAGAATTCACAGTGGTCTGGAGATCAGTGAGGCAGTGGTAATTCAGGACCTGTGCTCCTTAACTGCTTTACTAATTTTCTTTCGGTCTCAGATGCTCCTGCCTTGGGCTACAGGAAAATGGCACTTTCTCTGTTATAACCCATGGCCAAACTTGCTTCCTAACTGCTGTCAGTCACATCAGAGCAGGGCAATTATCCCTAAGCCAAAACCATCGTCTTTGGCAAAAGTACTTTGGCCCCCAGGCGGAGAATTCTCCTCTAGATCTAAGTGCTGGCTTTATTTTCTATGGGAGCAGTATGTGACTAGTGAGTCTGTCCTGCTTCCGAGTTTGAGTCCTCCCCGAGAGTGTCTTGGCTCCTGTATGACCAAGCTAGACTGTGATTCCTACCCTTGTGGTAGAGGGAAAGGCTGAGGTGTCTTATTGTCAAATGCCGAGAGTTCTCTTATGTATTTTAACCATTCAAACTGATCTGAAGGTATGTTTGGAAAAGATTCTAGCCCTCTTTACTGTTGGTGGCACAGCTTTATATAAAACAAGGCTGCCTCACAAATTTGCTGAAGTGTTCAGTACATATCTTTTCCTGAAGCATGTGCAGAACCCTTTAGCAGAGGTTTAACCCGTAAATCAGTCACTGCACATGGATCTTGGTGGTATTTTGCTTGCTCTGTGTGTGTGTGTGTGTGTGTGTGTGTGTGTGTGTGTGTGTGTGTGTGTGTGT